ACAGAAACACCCAATTACCTGTGGGGGCACATTTCTCACAAGAAAACCACTCTTTCTCCAATCTCTCAGTCCTGATCCTCAAAGAAAACTTACACAACACTTCCCAGAGACGAGCCTATGAGCTCCACTTCATCAACCTCCTAGATACTAAAAATCATGGACTAAATATAGGCATTGGATTTATGACACGTTATACCTGCCTGACATCTGACTCCCCAGGTATCTCTCCACTTTTATCCCCTTTCTTCCCCCCCCACCTGTCTCTCACCCATTGACTCCTCAATCTACATTTTCACTGACTACCTGTCTTGTATGAAGACCAGCCCAACCGCTGGCTTCTTTACTTTTCATTCCATCCAGGAAGAGCACACACCAACTGCTGAAACTTCCTTAGCCTGACGAAGGGTTTTTGAACCCGAAAGCTTGCTTAATAATTATTTTCCAACTATTTGGGTTGGTCTAATAAAATATATCAGATTCACCCAAGAAACCTTGTCTTCCCAGGGGTGACTTTTTTATTTTGACTGCCACCATGTGGCAAAATGGTGAACTCTCCCTTTAAACAAGGAGGGCAGCTGGCTTGAAGCTGGCAGTTCAAACAGTGAAAGTACCGGAGCAAAGCTCACCCTTGGGCACTTCTGTCCCTTCCCAAATGTGAGGCAACAGTAGCCGTGAGTCAGGCTTGCCACCATCTGGGCCAAGTGGGATACATCTAACCACTCCAGAGCATGCACAGGGCACAGCAACAGACTCTGAATGCCACCTCCCTGGCAGTAGATAGCAAGAGAAATACCCAGGTTCAGGGGCCAGTCCCTGTGGCCAGTACTTGGCAAAGAAAAAGTCTTGTACAAGTAGCACAGATCTCAGAGGGGGGCAGATCTACAATTCCTATGCTCCCTGTTCTGTTCTGGGCCTAGGCCTGCTCCTGGGTGAGCTCAGGGGTAAAACTCCCAGCACCCTGAGCTAAGGAAGAGTTTGCCCTGGCTCTCAGCCCTGCTGAGTATCACATACCACTCACAGCCCCACCAGAGAGATCCCCCAACCTCTCCACCCCCTCTCCCCTGCCCCCCACACACATACACCAACCAACCAACCTGTAGCCTGCACTGCACTCCCTGGTGCAAGACACAGGAGTGTGATGTTTGCTTCTTGGAGAGATACCTCCATTAAACAGAGCTGTGTGGTTATCTGTCATTTTGGACTTAATACCCAAACAAAGGTATTGGAAAAGTAAGTTTCAGATCAGCCTAACATTGCAATATTTTGTATGTATTTGGAAAAATATAAAAAATATATTTGGGGTTGAATGAAACAATTTCTTTCCTTCCCTGCCAGACCATTTCTATGTCCCTGGGACAAGTCCAGATTCACACAGGCCCTGGCACAAGAGCTTCCTGGTCATGGCAACAAGTGTCATACAAGACAATGCACTCACTCTGTGAGTTGCCTGCTGATGGGATCTTGTGTGGTCCACTGAAATACAGATTCATGTGTCTGGTCATTAAGGCCTGTCCAGAAAGGGCCCTGGAAATTTGAACAGATCCAGTCCTGGAAGGAAACAAGAAAACCTGAGGGTTACAGGACAGAGATCTCTCTTACATGCTTAACCAGTATTTTCAAACATCTGGACCTACTAGGAACTTCAACCTCACCTGTAGACACCAGAATAAAAGTGCCTTCATGTCCAATAGTGCTAAGCCAGACAGTGGGTATGACCCCTGCCCCTGCCTTTGCATGTATGGTGCTAGACAGCTGTTGTGTCTTATTGTTTTCCTTGCAGTGTCCCTTGAAAGCCAAAGCCCTCGTGTTCAGCACTGCACAGCTCAGTTTGCTTGTGGCAGTTTTGCAGCACCGGGGACTCCATGTTCTCTGCCATGAGGAACCAGAGGCTTTCTTGGTTTCTGTCTCTCCACAGGACTAGACTGGGTCAAGTCAGAGGCAGAGCAAGCAGAAGTTCTACATACATATACTGAGGACAATTGTTAAGTTCCACCCTGGATATGAGTCTAGAGAATTATAATAATAAAGAACTGTAGTTCAACACAGAAGTGTTCAGAGTGTTGTTGCTGAACTCACAACATATCAACAGCCCACTGCGCAGACTGGCCTTCACAATAGTTTGGGATTTGTTTCCTAGACACGGAGTTTGTAACAGCTGACTCTGCTCTCCCCTTTCTGCACCATCTCTCAGCTCTGCTTTGAAAGCAGCTCAAAAGGGAGCGCTGTGATAGCCTCCAGGCTGGGAAGAAGGGTTATGGTGTAGCACTGTGCCCTGCTCATCTCACCAAGAGCAAAGGGCTTGTGGCCAAGACAGCTTTCTGAGTCCCCCTGGAGGTGTGCTATGGTGTCAAGTCAGGAATGGCTGGCTCATACCTTCTCCTGGGTGGAGTTGAGGTACAGCAACTCCGTGCGTCTGAACCTCCGGCACACCTGCAGGGCCTTCTGCCACGTGTGGACCAGTGAGGCATCCCAGTAGTAGCAGCTGCCATTCCACTGCCTCCACCCAGGATCCAGCGGACAGAGGATATGGGGAACTGCCATGAAGAAGAAATACCAGGGAGAACAATGACTGCCACTGTGAACTATGAAGAAACAGTTTTTCCCCCGACAACCCATCCTCAGAACTCTGAGCCACAAGTGGCTGAAGGAGGACTGTGGCTACCCTCAGAAGGAGCCTGAAGAGATGAGGGTTGTCTGCATAGACCTCATGGGCACTGTCACTGGAAAGGCTGTGATTTTGGGAACATCCCCACAGGGATGTGTTCCAGGAGAAGCTAAGGTTGGGATCTGCCCCACCACTATGGGAGCCACTGTGGGACAGCAGGAGGTGCCTGAAAGCAGACACAACACACAGCAAGAGGTACAGCTCAGAGGGAACCAGAACCCACCAGATCCTACCCCTCCAGCCAGCTCAGCCATGCCCCTCTGGCCCTGTCCCATTTCCCCAGCCACATGGACTGGCAAGCACATACATGCACCAACACATACATGGCCTCAGGGCAGCTCTTCTGGTTTTTGCTCTTCTCAGCCCCTATCTTTAATTTATTTTAAATAAATTATTTTTTTATTTATTTATCTGTTTACTGGGATGCTGTGTTGAGTTCTGGGGCCAGACCTGTTGTTGCATCCTCACCTGCTTTGCTGGCTGTGAGCCATTATCTAAGTGTTTCTGCTCCCCTCTCTCTTGCTCAGGGGGTTTGTGCTCAGGGAACTCAAAGCAGGGTGAGCCCCTGCCTGATCAGCAAATGCCAATGATATGCACAGCCCCAGATCACAGACCTTTTGTGTCACCAGTTCCCCTCTGCTTTCTGGAAGCATGTACCACCCTTGGCAGCACCTCACAGAATTCCAATATCCTTGCCCTGGGAATGAACTGTCCTTTCCCCATATGTTGCTGCTGCTAGCTTGGAACTGGCTGGAACTCAGCAGCCATCAATGAGTGCCCAGTGACAACTGAACAGGAGTCACCAGCACTGAGTCTAGGACCTGCAGGGCTCTTGGCTCAAGGGCACTGCAGAGCACCCAGGGTTTAGGCAGAACTGAGTGGTGCCCTTTAGCGTGTGGCTACCCCCAGGCATCCCAATGAGCATCTGGGCAATGGGACTTCCATTAGTTCTTCTTGGCAGGTACATACCTTCTGGCCCTTCACAGACCCAGGGCTTGAGAACTGAACAACTGGATACAGCAAGGCCTGGACTGGCAGGGGGCCCAATGCCCAGACAGCCTCCGGGAGTAAGCAGCACCCCAGCCAACCTAATGGGGAACCACTAGTCAGCTGGCAGCAGCATGAAGCCTTACCCAGGTCCATAGACTCAGTTCTGCCCTGTCCCCATCCTGCAGAGACCCTTCCCACTCTCACCTGCTCCTGTGTTTAATCCACCCTCCCACAGTCTTAAACCCAGCTAACCCCCCCAGCAGGAATAGACAGCCTGGCCTTCATAAAGCAGCAAATAAATACCTGAGGAAAAGTCTGCAGATTCCCACAAGTCGGATCTTTTTCCTGCCTGTTTCATCCACAATAGCATTTTTTTTCCCCTAATCAGATAGTATTGTGTTCCCACTGCAGAGCTCTGCCCCAGAGGTGAAAGCTCACTGCCAGGGCAGCTGGCACTGCTAGCCAGGGAAGGCCTCAGGAGCCTGTCCCTGGAGGGAGGGGGGACAGTAGGGACCTCAACCCCCTGGCAGACAGACAGGGCTACAGCCCATGCCTCCCTGGTGTGGGCTGCAGCCAGCAAGTGGGCCTGCTGATGGGGGATGCAGCACTGAGGTGTGGGCTTCCCATGGAGAAAGCAGGGATAGGGCCTGCTGCATGAGGGCAGTCAAGACACCTCTGGTCTCTCAAAGTGTCCCTATAGCTGCTGCTCCCCACCCTAGAGGTTGGGCAGGAGAGTTGGGGCAGGTGATCTGTGTCTGAGACCTATTAGCACAGGCTGACTTGGAGAGCCAGGGCTGCTCACAGGATGGGAGTGGAGTCAAGAGCAGCACAAGAGGGTGCAGCTAAAGTCAGAAGGCTGCAGGGCACACCTTGCAGGGCTGTCTGCCTTGGGCTTCCTCAGCCGCCCCTCTGGCTCAGCCCTCACTCACCAGGGTGCACTGGGATCTGTGGGCTGAGCCATACTTGTCCACCTCCCATCACCATCAAGGTCATTCAGCCCAGTCCAGCTGTGTCTCTGCACCATGGTTGCAACCCAGGCCTGAAAGAAGCAAGTACTTCACTGAGAGATCATTCCTCTGGCTTGTGGCAGAGTTTAGGCAGGCAGCCCAAGGGAGCCACAGGGTAATTAGGCAGGGAGAGGGGCATCCAGAGAAGCCTAGACTGACTGCACTCTCTGGGGCAGGGTGCTGGGCCCACTGGGGGAATGCTTCTATTGCTTCCTCAGTGCCCTGGAGATCATGGCCCAGCCCATGCATCCCGCTCCACATTCGCCAAGCACACAAAACAGATGGTGAAGGCCCAGGGAGACACTATCCACAGAGGAGTGGAGGCAGAGGTGCTTCTTCACGGCAACCCCACCACCTCCTTGCTGGGTTTGCATGCATGAACAGGAGTATGAGGTGAGGCGTCTTCTCAGAGGGTGCTGGGTAAGTGGCAGACACATACCCTCTATATCAAGAAACTCCCTCTATCACCATTCCCACATACAGTGACTGGGAAGGGAAGGGAAGGGAAAGGAATGGGGTCATCCGTCCCTCCAGGGATTGGGCTGCCACAAGAGTCCCTTACCCTGGGGAGGGCAGTGCCCCCTCTGCCTGCTGGGCTGCTTGAGGCCTCCTCTTACCCCTTCACTCCAGCTCAGATACAGCTCATTGGGGGAGGCTGCCAGGACAGGGGGCCTGTTCCCTCTTGGCAGTTCACGAGTTCATGCTCACTTCCTTGGACATTATTAAGGAAGTTGAGGATGTGGGGAAATGGCAGGCCACACACAGGGAGAAACTGCCAGCAGGAGGCACACAGCAGCCCACATCCAGAGGGGTTCACATGGCGCAGAGCCCAGCAGGGAGTTAAGTAGCCAAGCACAGGGCCAGGGATCTCCACAGAAAGTTAGTGTTGTGAAAGGCTCCTCCCCCAACACAGATTCAACTGGCTTCATCCTGCCCTGGCAGCAAGGCTACAAGAAGCAGCAGCTGCCCTGCAAGGCCAGTCTCCCTGCTCAGCACCTGGGAGTACATGCACAGAGAGACTCCTGTGGGTTTCCACTGGGTGACTATCCATAAGCAGAGCATGATGCCAGACAGACAGAGACAGCAGGGAGAAGCCGTTTCTGCCTCAGGAAGATGCCTGAGCTCTCTCAGTGACTCTGCTCAGGGAGGAGCCCAGGTCACTCCTCATCTGCCTAGCCTCCACACCTTTTCCTCCTGGCTGTTGAGGGCCAGCAGTCCCAGACCTTCTCCAAAGGAGCGGCAGGCTCTTTTGGCTTCTTCCCACGTCTTGGTGTCTTTTTCCTCCATAAAGTAGCAGTGTCCATCCCAGTACCACCAGCTGGCATGCCCAGGGCACCGGGAGCTCACTAGCCCTGGGGAGCAAACAGGCAGCAGTTGCCCATCGTTGGAATGCAGTTTCAGCCAAAACCTATTGTGCCCACCCCTACCTCAGTAAGACCATGGTGCTACTCTTGACTCCCCTCCCATACCCGTTCCCACACTGAGCTGTCTCAGCTCTCTGGTCCCTTCTTCCCAGGATCTCTAAGAGCTGGCAGGCGGGAGCCAGTTGGAGGCTCCAGCCTGCACTTGTGTATGGCAGACAAGTATTATCATCTGTAGGTTCAGGGACGGCCTAAGACATGGAGCACCTATCGAAGCCATGCAGTCAGGAACTGACCTCTGTGCCCCAGCTCTGACACCAAGCATCTGCCCCCAGCAGACACTGCCTCCCATAAAGCCGAGGACTAGTCCAAGGAATAAGGACACTGCCATAGGCAGGTAGTGCATCACTTTCTAGTGCAGCCACTGCTGTGGAGCATTTCTTTCCCCACACTGAGGCCCCACACATCCTCCACAGCTGTCCTCACTCAGCAACAGTGTTGAGGGGGGTAAGAGTGCTGAGTCTGCCATTCCTGGCCTGGACATGTGGTCTCACTGGTGCTCTGCACAAGCTGGCCTATTGCTTACTGCTTGCTGTGACTTAAGAGTCCAGCGCAGGAATTAATGTAGTTTCCATCTCTTTTCTTCCAAGGTGAAAGTCCTGTGCACATGACAGGATGCCTCCCAGCACACCCATATGTACACACACACACACACACACACACACACACATTGCACTCCCTGCCCCTCTGTCCCCATGACAGCTCTAATCCTGGGAGTGGGAAGCCTCTTTACCATGGAGACAGGAAGGCCCAATCCTGCGGACACAGCGCAGACCCTCTTCACATCGGCCACTTAGTGGACTACAGGGATGGGAGCCAGGACAAAGCAGGCAGCGTTTTGTGCAGTTCACTCCGTGATAGCCAGGAGAGCAGGCTGCAAACACAAGCACAGTGACAGGGCCAATCCTACTCCCTCTCATCAGTAGGAGTTTGGTCAACAAATTCCACTAGAACAGGATCAGGCCCCCTACCTCTAAAATGAGCCTAAGCCAAGCCCTGGAGAAGCTGTGTGGGGGTCCCCCTGCCCCTTCCCCATGGGAAGAAGAGATGGTTTCATGTCTGGCTTTGCAGGCTCACAGGAGCGCACAGGGTCATTGCCCCACCCAGGGGGAACACCCAAAGTCAGCAGCACCCCCAAAGGGAGACCCAAACACCCTGGCACTACCTGCCTCATAAAGAGGGGCCACTACCTGACTTCACGTAGAGGACAGCCCCTGAGCCAGGGCTGTCCACCAGCACTGACCCCCTCACAGTGTAGTGGGCTCCTTTTAGCTGCAGCACCCCAGAGCAGTTCTCTCTTTGTAGAAAGCAGGAATCCTTAGCTGCTGCCAGTGAATGGTGTCTCTGCCATGCAAAACCCTTGAAGGAAATGAACAGCTTCTCCTGAAAGGCCAGCAGCTTCACATCTACAGAGAGAGGGTTTCTTGATGAGATTCCTATGAGCTTGAGTCTCTCAACCCCTGGCCCCCACCTACACTCACCTCAGTGAGATGGTGGGTTTCCCATGGCAGTCAGGGTTCCCACACCTCCAAACTCACCAGTGCTGGTTGCAGAGCTCTGGCTGCCAGTGGGATGAGTCAGCCTCCTATCAAGGCCCCAGCTCTGAGTGTCAGGTATCTGCATGCACCAGTACTACAGCCCCACATGGTAAGGCAACAGCAAGAAAGCTGAAGCAACATCACAGGGAGAAGCAAGGAGATGCAGGTGCACCAGGAGTGAAATTTCTCAGTTCCATGGGAGCCCAGCCCTGGTCTATGGCCCCTGCACCAGTGAGATTTAGGAGTAGAGGTACCAGAATAGATGCATAGATGTGCAGGAGGCCTGGGCTCAGCTTCAGGCCCTGTTTCTGTGCCAGGAATGATATGTCCTCCCCATGACACCCTGGTAATTCCAGTGACTCTAAAGGACATACTCCTGGGGACTTGAGGCTATCTGAGAATTAGTTCAAGTGCCCTTGTACTTCATGGCCAAATGTGGAGGCACATCCAGGCTCTGCAATAGAACCCAAGCACAAGCCTCTCCCCCCCACCCCCTCCTTCCTGGGGAACAGGAAGCTCAGGGCATTAGTGCAGCATGCTCGCTCCCTGGACCCACAAATACCCAGGTGCCTCACGAGAACATGGAGGTTCCTGTGGAGGCAAAGGTGCTACCTTCAGCTCGTTGACAAGACCAGAGAGACTGTGGGGGGCAGTTTATCCGAGAGCCTCCATCTCCACCTCCAGAGGGAGTTGCACATATCTGGAAGATGCAGAAAAGGCAGCTGGTCCATACCCTACACTGTCGATGCTTTCCCTAGGACTAGTGCTGAAACAGGGCTTCCCTGGGTCCCTTGATGAAAGGGCTGGGGGCAAAGAGACAGGAAGAAACCTTGGCCTCTGCTATTGGCATCTTGGAACTCCCTCCTTTCCTGCATGCCAGTCATGCTTCAAAGGGCCTTGAAAGTGGTCCCTGACAACATGGCCTGCCCAGGTGGTTTCCCCAAGTGCTGCCGGCTCTTTCGCATAATGTTCCCACACAAAGGCTCTAATGCTGTTCCAGCACCAAACCCCAGAAAACAGGGCCTCAGATGCCCCAAGACCTGAATCTGCTTCAAAAATAGTCCCAAGCACCACTGACCTAATCTCAAGGATTTAGCTTGGGTCTCCTCACCACATCTGGGGACTGCTTGATCTCCAGAACTTCCGCGGCCAGATACCTCCTGCAGATGGGCTCCATTTCATACTGACTGCCCTTGTGATCCAGAGACACACAGGCTCCATCCTTGTACACCCAGCCAGTAAAAGAAGGGCATTTCAGAGACATGTACACTGCCAAAAAAAGTGAGTTCCATGTCACCCTCATGGTCAGAGGGGCAGTTGCAGCACTGCGGTCACGTGGGAGGGAAGGGCACTACGGTTGCAACCCTTGTAACTCACCACTAAGAGACATGTCCCTGCAGAATGATACATGCCCCAAGACACAAGCAGTGTGTCACCATCATAAGGCTCAGCCCACCATTACTGTGGCTCATAAGGTGTCTTCTAGAGCACCGGCCACCCTGGAGCGTAGTGGGTGAATTTGGCCCCTTGTGCTCTTACAATATCTTAAAAGGCCTTGTGCTCAATGATAATGTTGGTGGACTGGCCAGCAACAAGCTGTGGTAGATGCTGGATATGCCCTGCAGCACTAGAAGGCCCCCATTTGAAGTGTTTTTGGGCTGAAATCCCATAGACTTGGGACCTGAGCTCCTTTTTGACAAAGGCCAGAGCAGACTGAAGGGGACTTCCTCTGATTGACAATCAGAGCCTGGGTCTGTACCTGTGAGGCAGGTTTCTTTGGTCCCCCAGGATGCTGAGGAAGGAGAATCACACAGCCTTTATGCAAAGCAGCCTGGCTCCGCACACCCTGCTCCAGCATGAGCTGGAGCGGGGTGGGGGAGAGGCATGGCAAACCCAGGAATTTGCATGCACTTTGCAACATTGCTGAAGAAAGCAGCATTGCAGCCTTTACCTCTGCCCTCTAGCGGGACCAAGGCTACAGTGCTCCCTACCAGACTGCACCAGCTGAATGAGCTAGCCTTTGCTGCTTGGGCAATACCATGAGTCCCCGCTATCTCCTTCTGCCCCTCACTGCTCACCTGCCACCTGCATGCTCGGATCCCAGCTGTAGTACAACATGCCATCACAGGCACCAGTAAGAGGGTTGAAGCTGACCCCAGGGTCACACACAGGGTGCACAGACTGGCAGTCCTGCCCTGAATAGCCTGGGGCACACCCTGCCACAGGAAACATACACACCATAAAGCCCCTTGCTACAGAGGAGTCCTCTCAGCCCCACCCAGTTCTGGTGACTGCCTATCTGGCCCTGCAGCACCACTCCACACACTGGCTGCACCAGTGAGGTGCTCCAGGGCTGGGGGAAGCACTGTTCCCCAGGAGACCAACCACCCCAGCCTATGGGGGCAGTAGACTGGCTGGGAGCTTGGATCTCTGCAAGGCCAAGAAAGACCTCTCCTGACATACCCCTTACTTCTGTCCCTGCCCTCAGGGTGCAAGGAGGAAGGAGTTCCTCACCCACCCCCAGCCAGGGAAAGGCATACAGCATAGCTCATAATTCAGCACCTGCTTTGATGTGCACAGCAGCTGTTGGGTCCATGGTCAGATCCTCCAGGCTGGCAAACCGCGTGCCAAGGGAGAGGTAGTGAGTCCCTGCCATGCTGACCACAGCATTGCAGCCCCTGCCCAGGGCAGTGCACTGCTCCTTAGCTGTCTGAAGAGAGGTGAAGCTTGTGTCCGTGGACAAGCTTCCATGCCAGGATTTCCCAGGAAATGCTACATACAGCCCTGTAGACACAGAGGAGTCCAAAGGGGAGTTACTCACACATCTTGCCTGGAATGGAGCCACTCAGAAGAGGGGATGCCCACATGCCTGGGATGGTAAATGCCACCCATTGACTGCCAGCCTTCTTTGCACCTGACATGCCAGTGCTCACTGCTCAGCACTCAGCAAAGGAACAGAACTAATGGGAGAAGCATGCATTGCGTTATCGTCCCTCAAGCTGCCGCTTGTCTGGTGCCAAGAATGCACTGTGTGATGGCCCTGCAGCCTGCTGTCCACACAGCCATGAGAACATCCACCACAGCTGGGCATTCAGGCCCCTTTCCAGAGGCCAATAGAGTCTTACTGTTCTTCTGTAGGGTCTGGCACACCCAGTGATGCCGTCTCTGGCATGGTTCGCTCCTCAGAAAGCCAGATGGCAGCAGGAGGACACAGTCTGTGTCATTAGCAGCTTTGGAGGACCGGATCAAGCTGAAACCCAAGGGAGCAGGGTGAGGCATTGGTGAGGATTCCAGTGGCAGGGGTGGTTGATACCCATACCCTCCATGCCTGCAATAGCAGGATCACTGCCAAGGCCAGGGGACTGCCCCACACAGGGCTCAGCACAGGTAAAAAGCAAATGAAGGTGATCTCTAAGAAGTGCCTCCATCACTGCCCCAGATCTGGTCATACAATGGCTTGCACCTAGGGACTGAGTATGGCCTCCTGCCTCACCTGCCCTCCTCAGGGTTGGAGTGCTGAGGTCAGTCCCCATGGGCTCTCATGCTTCCAGTCTGTGCATATCCACATGCCCAGTTATGCTGCTACAGCCTCAGCTCTCCTGAGCCAGGAGTCAGTGCCCCCATCCCCAGTGGGGAGAACAAGAGGTGGCTGGGAGCTCCTTACCTCTGCAAAGCCTTAGTAGCAGGCGTTCCATCAGCCCACTGATGCAGAGAGCCCCCACGCAAACCAGTCCAGATGCTCCAAGTCAGCTGCTCCTGCCACCAGCTCTAGGAATTAGCACAAGGCAGTTAATCTGTGTTTGACAGGGCTCTAGATACCAGTGGACAAGAACTAAAAATGCTTCAGCATCCACTTTTCCAGCATAATCACAGAATACAATCACACAGGGCAGCAGTGAAGGGGAGTGGGGTTAGCCCTCCCAGAGCTCCCTTGGGGATGGGTGTGGGGACACAAGGCTTCCCACATCACAAAGGCCTTCACTGAGCAGGAGAATATCTGAGCCACAGCCTTAGAGCACCAGCACATCTACTTGATTAAGGGCATGGACATCTCCCATTGCTTGCTATAAGGAAAACCCTGAAGTGCAGAGTGGAGCCCTTCCACAGCCCTTCAGCTGTTGTAGAGCCCTTGGTTAAGTCATCAGACCACCCAGCTCTAGCTGTAACCAGGCTACCCAGCTCTAGTTAACTGGCAAACAGCTAATTAGTTACTCAGAAGCACAGACTCTAGCCTGGCCAGCCCTAGGGGCCAGTCGCTGGGCATCACGGACTCACCAGATCTTCCAGGCCATCAAGAGTGAGGAGGCTCCCACTTGGGAACCTCTGGCAGTAATTCAGAGCCTGATGCCATTCCAGGGCAGTGCCTGAGCCCACAAGAAAGCACTTATTTTTCCAGGCTTTCCAGTCCTGTGCTCTGGGACAATGCACGTCTAAGGGGGAACATAAGACAAAGCCACCAAGTCAAACCTGAGTGCTGTGCATTGCGACACCATTGTTCAGCCAGAACCACTCACTAGTGTGTGCAGACCACTGGCCACATGAACACTAAGAAAAGGCAGAGTCTGGCCCACCCAGCCCGAGGCTGGACATTTAATGCCAAACAGACCAAGAAGCCCAATCAAGGCTCCAGGGCAGATTTTCTTCCAGGTTCCACCTCCCTTACACTGCTCAGATGGCATAAAGGGTGTAGAAATCCCTGCCAAGAATACTGTGTACAAGTTCTGGGGAAGTGGGCATGTTGTGGGGCGTAGAGGGAGGGGAACGGGTGGGAACACATTGCATTCTGGATCTCTCGGGAACTGTAGCCAACTGGTGGAAGCTACAGCAGATCTCAGGTTTCTTAATGGGCTCTCGGACTGGGGCAGGCAACCAGAAGTGGTCACTGCTGGCTGCTCTTACCCCCATCTCTGCCCTACATCCTAAGGACCATTAGCAGGAGGGAAGCCACCCAGTGCTAAGGCTGCCCTAGGCTCAAGCAGAGCCAGTTGACTTCCATCTGGCTCTTCCTGGGGCTCCAACAGCCCAGCAGGTGCTGAGAGCAATCCTGGCCCATCAGAGCCACCCCTGGGGCTGTTTCCCTCCCCCCACAGCTCAAGGGCTTGTTTATAGGTCACATACAGCCAGGGTCTAGCCAGGATACAAGGGCTTAGCCATATGGGAAGGTCAGGGTAGGTGGGAGCCAGGATGAGACCATCCAGTGGAGGTCTCCCTGCTGCTTACACTCTGCCTTGTCCCCAGCAACAGCATGCCTGGGCCCCTCCGAGTTACACACTGGGAACAGAGCCATCCATACGAAGTGCTGTGGCACTGTGAAGGGAAAGGCTGCAGAGGAGGGCAATGGGATGCGGGGCCTGTGTCACCTTCATTCAGGGCAAAGTGCAGGGCATGGGCAGAGCACTTCCGCAAGGAGAGCCCCATGATCCTGGTGCTCTGGAAGAAGCAGAAGCCAGAGTATAGGTTCTGGATGCGCTGGTCTGGCAGCAGGCGGAAGGAGCTCCTCTTGTGAAAGGAGCAGTCTGAGCTGCACCCAACAGACACCCCATCCAGCCCCACCTGCAGGAGAAACACACAGTCACTCCCACAGGCAGACTGGCCCTGCTGGGCAGAGCTTGGCAGCAGATCAAAGAGCACCATCTCC